TTGATGAAATTACTTTCAACAGAATAAGGCAAATCGTGCAAAGAAACGGAAACAGAAAAGAAGAAAGTACAGCACCTTGAGGCACACCAGCTTCAGTAAGCAATGAAGTCGAGTGCATCCCTTTATGGATAGTGCACTGTTTCTTTTCAGAAAAATAAGAATGCAGCCAATTTGTAACCCATGGATCAGTGTAAGCTATGGCAAGCCTATTTAACAAAAGTGGTCTAGGAACAGAGTCAAAGGCTGATGAGTAATCCAAAAAGGCACAAAGGACATACTTAACACCTTTGTCGAGACTAGAAACAATGTTATAATGCAAGACAGTAGCTGCATCTAAAGTACTCCTCCAGTGTTTGTAAGCAAACTGTTTCGGATCTCTGAAAGCCATCAATGAAGGCTCAAATACAAGGAGAAGTAAGTTCTCCATTATCTTCAGAAAAGGGGAAGTTATAGCGATGGGTCGAGAAGTAACATCTGATCCAGAAGATGGCTTAGGCACAGGTACAATTTTTATCTGCTTCCATGCAGTGAGTATTATGTTTTTAGAAAACGATACGTTGAAGATATCTGTAAGTGGATGACATGCAATATCTGCACATTTTCTAAATATAATACTAGAAATACCATCAAGACCTAAGCTTTGGGAGGGATTCAAAGACTTTAGACATTTAAATACATTATTTGTATCAAAACCTGGAAAGCAGCTATCCACTTGATTTTGCACATTAGGAAGGGTGAAATCAGCTTGCTGACGTATAAATGACTTGTTTAACGCACAGACATTTGAATGAGTTTCTTTTGTCATCTTTTTTTACCAGTAAGATCTTTAAGTAATTTCCATATATTAAAAAAGTTCTTACACGATAGGAACTTCTTGTTGTATATAGTATTTAGACGTTGTATTTCAGACTTAATTAGGCAGTTAGGCCTTTTAACTCCAGGGTAATCTCTGGCCTTATACAACCTTTCTTTTCTCTCTGGAGCCTCTTGAGATGAGGAGAGGAAATTCTGTCAAATATCATGTCAATTGTTTCAGTAGAGCAGAAGATATCGAGACAGAATCTGAGATAGCTTGTGATATTGGTGATAGTGTTGTCTAAAACTTCATCAGCAAATATATCCCAGTCCGTTTCTATAAGCATGCTTCTCAAACGTAATATATTTTCTTGTGAATAACATCTGCATTGAACTTTCCTTGAAAGGTATGCAAAAGCTTTCTTGTATAATTTTCCGTACACTTTAGGCAAAACACGAACGATACAGTGGTCGGAATTTAGCAGTGGAGCCCGTTTACGGGCTTCATATATGCCTGGTTCATTTGTAAATGCAAAGTCCAAGGTGTTGTCAAGACGAGTGGAAAAGTTAGCCACATTTTTATGACCCAATGATACCAGAAAACTGTAGTCACATGAGTTAAAATCACCACAGACAATAGACAAGGAGTTTCTCAGAACCGGAGCAGCAAATTCAGTGAATTTATCAGCGAAAGTTGACAAATCTGAGAAACTGCAGTCAGATGTGACATACATGTTTGTGATATATATGTATTTGCATTTGCTCAAATGTTTGGGACGACATTTGATGGTAATGCACTCAATTTTTTCGTTACAGAAGCAGAAGCATACATAGTTGAAGGAGGACCAGTTTGCACTAATAAATGTTGCTACACCACCACCACATTTCTTCTTCCAAAAACTTCGGTCTTGTCGAAATAATTTGAAACCACGTAATCAGACTAAATCATCATACAGGTTATGAAGCCATGTTCCTGTAGCATTATTACACCCGTCATGATCATGATCCAATTTCCTTGTTCCATCAATTATGGAAAAGTGTACTTAAAATGGTAAATGGTTTATCACATACTAATTAGCCGTTAGTACTTTTGTTTCCGTTTCTTTTCTCACCTTTCCATATCACTTTTATTTGTTGTACAGTTTCGTGGTTTGGATAAAATAAAAAAGTGAACACTGGCATTGATAAACTGTGACTGACATCATCTGGAGAATTACTGGGAATTCGGGAGCACTGAACTGCTAGTATGGGGCTCCTCAGCAGTATGCACTGACGACTCGGCTAGGGACCAAACTCATGGCGTTCAGGTTGCACGGCAAACGCATTAACCATTCAGCCACTCGATCGCAGTCCAATGTTTCACAGTTCCCAACTCCTGTCAATTCGTAATATAGTGTGACTATCATCCAAGGTCTTTAGTTAGCAATCGCTTCCCTTCAGACTGATTGACCCTACAGGTTTCTCGTTAGGACTCCGAAATGTCCATCGGGAAGCATTTCACTAATCAGTACTATACAGTTAAGTTTACCAGAACGAAACAGCTGTCCAGTGCACTCAGGTTTTCAATGGTTCTCCAAATGATGTTAGTCCATGATGAATACTATTTCAGAATTAAATTCCCAATAAACCTCAAAATACAATTTTGTATACACCTGATTTTTGCTTTACATCATGAATGTGACCGAAATAAACTGGAATAATAATTGTAGAGCAGAATTTTAAACAATGTACCAGATCCTAAAGCCATACTTTCTTTATATAGTAGAGTCTATTGACAGTTTTAGACAAAGGAAAAAAGCAAGATCTGCAGGAGACAGTGGAATGCTTCATCAGTTTTCAAAATATCCTAGTTTGTCAGGTACATATTCCACTTTATGGGCTTGAGTAGAGAAAGAATGGCGATTGCAGCATAACAACTTCGTAATATTTGATTTCGCCAGCTTTTTATCAGCTGATTAAAACCTTAAAACGTTCAAACATCGTATTACAAAAGAAGTAGAACATTTCTTTTTACAGTTAGTTAACAGGGAACTACATAGCTTAGTAAAGAACACAAGTATCCAAGTAAAGTTAACAAAACATGCTAATAGGTCTCACTTATATTTGTGCATGAACAGAAAGTTCATGATAGATTACGTAAGAAGATTAACAAGTCAGCTAGTTGATGGATACAAAATAGAAAAATTGTATAATGATGAAATGAGTTGGACCCAGATGGTAGAACGACTATCAAAATTATTTGTGAACAGAAAAGAGATTCAGTAAAAAGATGATATCATCAAATAAGGAGAAGAGTAAAATATTAGGTTACTAGGGCAAGGAAGGACTTTTAAACCCATAATTCCGGCTACAGTCACTTGAAAGCTACCGCCTCTGCAAAACTTGAAGAGGTTTGAATCATGCTGTTTGGTGACTACCTTGAGGAATTCTAAGGTATCTACTTCATGCCCTATGTCGATAAAATGTTGAGTGACTGCATTACTTAAATCATTTGTTCCCTTGAGAAGTAGACTGTTTGACATATGCTCAAAGAATTTAAGGTATGTCCTATTAGGTTTGTTTATTTGACACTGATATGATTATGAGATACAATTTATACTGGAAACCCCATCAAGTAAATAAAACAGTTTCTCTGGGTACTATAACGAACAAACAAACATAATATGGAATTAGATTTTACCACAGTACTCAAGTTTTACACTTACACTAAGACATACTCTCCTCCCCACCCCCCACCCCCCTCGTGTGACTGCTACGGCAAATGCAAATAAACTTTTACACACAATGAGAGGTAACGTGGGAAGGGGACCTATCGGCTTTTTATTGTACCAAGCAGCGTAGCACTTTGTAGTTTCATCTTTGGTTCTAAAGTAACTAACAAAACAGAATATCCTCTACTCATTCACTTCGTGACAGAATTTCATATTCATATAGTAACAGACGATAGGTTTATGAAGGTCCTACAATCTCATTTTGATATGTTTTACCACAGCAACCCACTGGAACTACCAACAACAAAAAAAATAAAGTAGTGCGATTGAAAAAATTTCTACAATATTAAGCTTGAAAACAAAATCGATTTACTTGCTCAGAAGCAACCTCTAGAATACTTTAAAATTTTGAAAATTATTATTACCAGGCCACCTGAGTAAACAAAGAACATTCTTTTCGACAACTTCTTCAGGTCGTTCAGTTATACTGAGGAACTATATATGAAGAATATTTAGATTTCGCTTATCAGTTTGTTAATAATATTATACGGTTAAGCAGATTGTAAACTTCTCAACATTTTTTACATTTTCACATGACAGCTAAACAATCATTCAGCTTAAAGTGTTCTATCAATATTTATTTTCTGAGCAATACAACTAAAAATGAGTTAAATGTATCTGTAGAACTCTCTAAACTGTTGCCTTATAATTCCTCTCAGACTGTACAACATGATGTTCAAAAGTAAAATGAATTTGTACAGTTTTTTTTCAAAGTCACCAGTTAGAAAATTTAACTTATCATTGACTTCAGATGTACAGAGATAGTTCAAAAATGGTAAAACAGAATTCAATAAAATTAAAATCCATACAAGTTATTGTTCATCTTGTATGGGCGTTCGTACTATGCTTGAACTGATGCATTATGTAAAGTAAGGAATGTATGTTCAAAACGTATATGAGCTGTGATTTCATGTAATTTGTGGCAGAGCTTTTAATAGCACCCTTGATCATCGTAAGCAATGGAATTTCAGGAGAATTCCTTAAAGTGTAAAAAAAATTTTCATGGGAAACCTATGCATATTCTAGCATCCAAAACACACACACCCAAATCAACCAACTAAATTCAATAATAATGATATAGAAATATACTACTGAGTAATATTGAAGGAAACGAGAAGACAGAGACGAAGGGAAGAAATGTTTATTATTAACATGTGGTACAGTGCTCGTTAAATATGGTGCACCCTGCACTAAGATAGTCATTTCCAAAGTGTGTTTCATTTCCTCTTATGCTTCCCTCTTGATTTTCTTTTTATACGCCCACGTTGTTTCTTGCATTTCTCTTGAAAGAATCCTTACTCACTGTTGGTAATTATCTATGATTTCTGCCGCCCTCTCAACATATATTACTTATTTCCATTCTTATCAGCAACACCCACTACAATGTGACTAGTTAGTTACCATTTACACTGCTCAGCAGACTTCGTTGGCCAGATGAGAGTGGTCTGGTTACCGTTTGGTCAATTGTTTCAACAGTTTAAGGTTGAGGTCATCAGCGGTGTACCTGATAACATTCATCTCACACAGCCGAATTTTTCACACCAAATGGATCGGACTAGTTCACTTGCTCCACTTGATCTCCTCTGGGCAGTTTCCTGCAGCAACCCTATCGACACAACAGTCGGTCAGGGGACCACCTACTCAACTGTGAGAGATATCACCATGAACCGTGTAGTTTGTAAACAACTTACAAACCGATCATCCAATTTGGTTATCAATAGCTTGTTGAGTAAATAATATCAGGCTGTTCATTATTTTAAAAACTGTTTAACTATTTATGTAAACCAACGATTGAAAAAATGCTTATTGAAAGGATAAACTTAATCAGTGGTTACACTAAGTAGTCTCATATACGTAATTTAACAACTTTAAAGCTAAAATGTTTATTTATTGACCATTGATTATTGTTAAGTTTATATAAGCTAATTTGATGGTTGGCGGTTTATGTCTGGCTGTTGCACTTGACTCTAAAAACTATCAATAAGGCTACACAATAAAATTGATTCTCATTCATCGCTTGCATTTTTCAATCTATTCAAATTATCCATTTCAAATTTCGCCATTTGCTTTTGAGGCATAATTAACTGATTATCCGCTTGCAGAGGAGCCATTGAAGGAAATAAGCAGTTGAACACTTAGATACTGAGGTTATCACAGGAATCACAGACAGAACTAATGTCAGTCTATCTACGATTATTATGCTTACTCCTATGTGGACTAACTGTAATGAATTCTCCTGTGCATTATATACGGCAGAATATGTGGTCTCCTAATTACTTTCCAGGTTATTTAAAACCTATGAATGCAAAACAAGCAAGGTATTCATTAGCCAGGGAAAAACTATCGTTCCCACCATACCTGAGTGATAACACTTATCACACTGGTGGTTTGGACATGGATGATGAATATCAAATTCCACAAATGAGCGGTCTATCTGTAGAACAAGAGAATGAAGAAGAACCCAATAGTGAAAAAGATAAAAATACTGATGAAGTTCTAATACACTTCGATAGTGGTAAACACGAAAATATGACAGAGGATGATGTTTACAAATCAAGGAATAGGATAATAACCCCTGTGAGATTTCAAAGTAAAGTCAGTGCGAAACCTAGACTACTGTTTGGACAAATGCCAACAGTCACATTACCAGTCACGGTACCGGCTCAGACGTATGTTCCTATTTCAGCGCCTGTAACACACCAAGTATTGACAAATGTGTACGGTACCACAAGTGCGGGAACACATATATATGTGCCTGCTCAAGCAGTACAAAGTCAAATTCCTGTAACTGTTCCACATGCTGTTATTCCACATACTATTCAGTATGGAGTCCAGCTTCCAGGTATTGTTCAGCCTCAGCAACCGACTATCATTATACCACAACAACCCACAATTGTCCAACCACAACAACCCACAATCGTCCAACCACAACAGCCAGGAATCGTCCAACCACAACAGCCAGGAATCGTCCAACCACAACAGCCAGGAATCGTCCAACCACAACAGCCAGGAATCGTTCAACCACAACAGCCAGGAATCGTTCAACCACAACAGCCAGGAATCGTTCAACCACAACAGCCAGGAATCGTCCAACCACAACAGCCAGGAATCGTTCAACCACAACAGCCAGGAATCGTCCAACCACAAATGCCACCTAGTGAAACCACACCTCAAGGAAAAGGAGAATTTCCTCAGATACCACCTCAACAACCAGGTTTGTCTTTCCCCGGTCAACCAGGTACACCATTTCCAGCTCCAACACAGCAACAGGAAGTACCTTCTTTAATACAAAACACACAACTACAGCAGCAACAATCTCTTTTTCCAGTACAACCACAACAACCAACACAGATGCCGCAACAAAAAGCAGTTATTACAGTTAAACACGTTATTATGCCTCAACCGGTACACATTATTGTCAAAAAGCAGAAATTCAAACCAGGTACATAATAAAAAGGTATTACTAATGTTCAATAATGATGATAATAAATAATTTATATGCTCGTTTCAATTCGCACTTCATATAAGTAAACCTCTTTTAGGTAGTTAGTTGCATACCCTCGGTCTAATAATTGTTCAATGTACTATACGTACTAAAGTTGGATTAAGAAAGTTTCGTTTTAACTTTTAATGCAAGCTACAAACAGCCATTAAACTTTTAGATGATGCAACGTGCATGACTAAACACTGATACTTGCAGAACATATAACAGATCTGATTCTGGTCAGCAGTTTGAAATCTTCTCTTCTAGATAAATTCTCATTTGTCAGGAACCTGGTTGTGTTTATAGAAGCAAATATTTTGAAATTATGAAAAGATTTGTAGCTCAAGATGAGGATGATGGCGGTTTGATTCTCTCTGAGCTTCACTATTTTGTCGTGGAGATTTCATCACCAGGCCTGGTGACATTTTCAGCATTAACTACTTATAGAAGCATGTAGTTCCATAGTTTACTTATAGTTTGTGAGAGAAAAGGAACCGAAGGACTACAAGAGTGACTGTTACGTTCGCTTTGAGGATTGTAGCCAAAGTATGTCAAAATATTGGATATGTTACCTTTTCCGAGACGGATTTTTTATTTATGAAGATTTTATTATATTTCTATATAAAATCATCAGCATTGTCTTCAGTGTGAAGTGAGTTATCAGGGTTTTTCTCTAAGTAGTAAGCCAGTAACTCTCCCTGTCGAAATATGAAAACAAAGATTTGTGGGGAATCCAGCAATGATTAGTAAAAAACCAAACTGCTTGAATTTAATGGCTTTTCAAAGTCTATAAACAGCCCAAAATTACAAAAATCTTATTATACATGATAAATAAAAAGACAATGAGCACTATCCCTACTTGAAGTTAAAGCGAAGTTTATCACTTACAACAAAACGATGCATCAAAGAAAAATGAATATTAAATAACTATAAACTGATCCAAACCAGAGTCTATGTATGCATGATGCAGTTTTTAGTTCTAGAGTTGGAAATAGAAGGAAGGAGTTAAAAAGGTGGACAGTGAGTGTTAGTAATGATAATTATAAGTTGAGCACTGGATAAAGAATTACATGAATTGATGAGCCTAGGAATAAATTCAACTTGACATATGAAAATCACTAAGGAAATTATCATAAAATAACAATGAAGCAGCAATATCAGGACAGTGTAATGTAGTCGCTACTATTTTATTCTTCTGTGTGTAGTTATCAAATTGTGATCGCATAGTTTCAGCGGCTTTTATTAGGAGAAGTTAAGTGGTACTTTTTGTATGTCATTTATTTCTAAAGTCTGTTTCACGTCGATTTATGTTGTGTATGTATTAGGTGTCTGGTTATTAAATATGCAAAAGGTAGCTTACAATTGAAGAGTAAACTTTTTGGAAAGTTTACAATATGAAATTTCTTCTAACCCTTCCTTTTTTTCACTCTTGAAAAAGGATAAAAATTTGTAAATATAATCAAAATTGATACGAGTGACATAACCTTCCAGATTTTTCTATACTTTGCGATGTTTTTAGTTGTAAGAAAATTCATTTTTAGTAGCCTAATATTTCTTTTATAATCCTCTTTAGTTCATTCCCTCCTGTTGAGAATGGAAGAGGGATTTGAATCGGATTTTATAGGTAGCTAAAAGTTCAGTTTTTCCTGTTCTCCTTTTTCTCTCATATACCAAGATAAATTTCATAACTGATCTTTCAGTTTTAAAATTTACTTCAGTAATCATGAGTTTATTTTCAACTTAACTCTTTGACCATAATTTGTTTGTGCTATTCAAGAATGTCTTGTCCAGATACCATCTGTAACCTATTGATAAATTTTGTGATTGTATCTTCATTTCATTATCCACGGTAATCCTGATGTTTGATTCATGATACTTTTGAAGTAGATGGGCTACTTTTCCCATGTTGTTACAAACAGAAAACCTATTTTAAGCCTCCCTAAAGAGATATGTATCACTTTCAGTTGTTGTTTTTTTATATATTTTACTCGCATTAGTTCAGTGTTACGAAAGAAAATGCTTGCCTGGATAGGAACAAATTGCGAAAGTGCGACTACTCTATTAGTTTTCTGACACAGTTGCTTCCTAACAAATTTGGAAATATACAGATTAAAATTTACAAAAAATTTATAGACGAAAAATATCCTGCTGATAAAAAAGAAACTATTAATCAAATATATTTTCCCATCGATAAAAGGTCTTCATGATCAATCTCTCCATTAAAGAATTTAACTCTAATTAAATGTGATTGCTTGAGACAGGCTAGGACTTCAAAGTACCAGTGTGTCATTTAAAACCTAAAGAAGTCATTTGTAGCAATGAAGTAGCATTAATTTCAGTTGACAAAGCAATGGGGTTCAGCACTTACATTCAAACTGAAGAAAAAACAGAACAGAATCCAATAAAACCAGAAAAACTAACTTTAAGACAGACAACAGTATGTTAACTGCCAAAGTTTGATATGAGTAATTCAAATAGAGCTACTTCATGAAAGTCAACGAATGCATCCATATGGATCTATATGATGAGATTAAGAAACCTATAAACCTATAGGTTTCCTGTAGATCGACCGTTTTATTCAACCATCATTTCTACGACTTAGGAGTATATCCAAGAATGGTAGATGGTTTTATTTCTCTTCTTCACATGTTAGGCTTATGTTGTTTTGTACGTTGTTAAGTATTTCTAACAAACATGTCACATCTTCATCTTTATCACATATCACGATTATACCATCAACATATCTTTTATAGAGAGTAACTTTATTGATGAGATAGCCAGCCAAGCCTTCAATGTGTGACATGTAAATATCAGCTAGCAATGGTCCTAAATTTTATATTTTATATTTATTTGTGCCTTGGGTTCCTAATGGAACATAGAGCTTCAGTACCACGTCTCCAATGCCCTCTCTTCTCTGAAATCTTTACAACCTAGCTCAACAACAGCCCACAACCTCTCATCTCCTCCTCACACGATCTACTCCATGTCACCCTCACCTCGGACGCCCAACTCGTCGTTTCCCATCTGACTTCCACTCGACGACCTGGCCTGACACATGATATCCACAGTCAGCCTTCTCAGTCTATGCCCAATCCATCTACACTTCCTTCCACTGCATATTTGTTCACCGATAACTTCTTGGTTGGTTCGTTTTCAGAGTTCCTTGTTGCTTATTCTTACTATTCTGGCCATCTGATCTTCAGTAACGAGTGAGCATAGGCAGTTGTTGATGAATGTCTGTAGTTTATTGGAA